GTAACAGAAAAGTGATCGGATAGGGCAACATCAGTAACAATGACTTTAGAAATCCTCAGACCTTTAGTGATGATCAAGTCTAAAATATGTTCCTGTTTGTTGGTTGTTTAACATGTTGAGTTAAACCAAAGTTTCTAAGTGTGTCACACAGTTCTTTTGCACTTCTGTCTTCAGGGTTGTCAACGTGAAAGTTAAAGTCTCCCACAATAATTAAACAGTCATAATCAACGCATATCACAGACAGGAGGTCACTAAAATCATTAAAAAAGTTTGACTTAGGACTGGACTTAGGAGGTCTATAAACATTTAGAAACATAGTTCGTACTGGGCTCTTTACCTGCAGAGCCAAATGTTCAAAAGAGTCAAATTTTCCCAAAAACACCTTTTTACACTTCAGTGAATCATTAAACAATGTTGCCACTCCTCCACCTTTCCTTTGCTGTCTGCTCTCACAAAGAAAATTGTAGTTTGGAGGAGACGACTCCAACAGAATATGTGCATTAATTAAAAAGCATTTTCCTGACAGAGATCTAAAGTTTAATAAAGCCAGTTTATATGACTTAGTGGTTGATATTGTCTCTGTGGCAGGCTGCATCTGACAGTTTATGACTCTTAAGTGTCTGTTCCTGTTTGTTCCCATTTTGTTTTTCTTATTTCTGCCACGTAACATCACAGATATTCCATAATCTCGGGTAAAAGGCCCAAGCTGATGCTGGAAACTGTTATGTCTGATAAGCTTTCAATGTGTAACCATCTTGCTCAGAAAGGAAATATTTCATTATCTCCTACCCCATCTTTTTACGCAGGGCTCGCCACAGTCTCTCAATTCCCCCAAAACTAGCAAATTTCTTATAAAGCTGGTTCATTATACATCTCCTCTGCTTAAACCCAAAATCTGAATGAGAGCCTCAAAATTAGTGAGAAAAAATGTGTACCATACACAGCAAAAAGAGAGAGAAACACCTTCATTCAGGAAGAACTTTATTACAATACACTATAGAAAGAATGAATGCTACCAACATGTCTTCATCTTGGCAGTTGAAGCACTCTAAAACACATTCCAACTCCTCTTTGTATTACTTTTCATAGCTTTCAATATGACATTCTTGAGACCCATCCATAAATGTCTTATGATACAGATCAAGAAACGCAACATGAAACCCACGTGAAGCATTTAATTTAAACAGAAGCGTGTTAGCCATTGTTTTGATGCTGAAGTCTTCCACCTGCAGGCCTCTTTGAGACAACAATATCTGAATTGCAGGGGTGAGGCGGGGAGATTTAACTTTGCGTTGCAAGCTTGATTGTCGCGAGTTCTGAGTTTTCAGTCTCACAACAAATTCATCTTGAAAGACTCCCTGTAATACGTCCGTCTCGTCACAACCAGCGGGTCTGACCAATAATATGCCAGCAATTTTCTGGGTGGAGGGACCTGTAGGAATGATGACAGTCAGAAGGGCCTTGCCAGGGCATTACATACTTGGCTACAGTGGAGGACTAACTGGTGGATACCAGAGTTGGCTCAGTTTTAGCTAAAATGGCAACAATTTCTTGTTTAAAAAAGGAGCAAAGATAAGAACTTTGTGTATTTGTAGATGGGAAAGATGTCTGTGCTTTTCTTCCGACAGCATTTAAAAAAAGTTAGATTTATCAGTTTACTCCGCTAGTTGTGAAAACACTCAAGAAGCTGCAGACGAATCCTATTGTGATCATCGTGAAACGTCACGATTCGATGCTACGATTGGCTGAAAGCGTATAATGGAAGAGAGTAACTAGCTGGCACATCCCCCAATCAGCTCAAAGTATTGTACTAAATGGTCCTCCTTTCACAGACAGAGTGAAAGGCAGTCATTCAAGATTGATAACGTAGAACTCAACTCAGTTCTACACATATCAATCTGATACTTTGAAGTCTACAGCAGATGGATTAAAAGTAAAAGTCCTTGCAGAGTGGTTGCAGACAGATATGTTGATTTTGGGTCGGATTATCGTTTTCACAGCCATAGCAAAACCTGTTTTGGATTTTATCACATATGTGGTAGATCAAATACAGTAAGGCAATTTTCATAGCTTTAATGACCTTGGAAGACAGTCGGCCGTCGATCTCAACTGGAACAGTGGGATACGTCGGTATGCTGTCACCCTCGCTAGCTATCACCTCTTTAGCGATTACACTGATAGGCTCGTTTACCTTAGGAGTTGGGCTGAGGCTGGGGAGAAACTGCAGTATACACTATGAGTGATGGTGGATACAGTGAGTATGGAGCGGGGGCTGAGAAAATCCTGGTACCCGAGAATGAATGCTAGTAGGATTTGAGGTTCAGCTGACACCGAGCTTGACTCATTCTGAGAAGATGTCGCACAGAGAGCATTGAGTGGTAAAATGAAAGCCCTTAGTGTCGGTAGTTCATTTTCTGTATATCAACTGAGAGGGGTGGGGAGAAGGGTGGTGATTAGTGTTACACCGATACCGATACCAGTATCGGACGGGGTCCCTATACTGCCCTAAAATGGTGGTATTGGTATCGGCAAGTACCAACAAATTGGGCACCGATACCATTTTGAGAGCCATAAGTTTATTCAACTATTGTCACCCATTCCTGGTAGGCAATAAAAAGTTCTACTGGTTTCACTTTGTATTAGATGTTTTCCTGCTTCACAAAGGTAGGCAGCAGCTTGACAAAGCCATGACGGCAATTATTTTACATTATTATGGTATCGGTATCGGCCGATACTGCACAGCCAGGTATCGGGTATCGTATCGGGGCCAAAAAATGGCATCGGCGCAACACTAGTGGTGATGACCTCATTCATTTTCAGTGACAGCCTTTGTAATCGCTATTAGGGACTGTGTGTCAATTATGTTATGATTCATTGAAAATTTGGTTGACAAGCTGTCCATCAGTTTGAGTGACAGGTTGTCAATCATTTCACGGGTCATTGAACATATGATTGACAGATTATTTAATTACTTTTGACAAAAAGTGGTTTGTATTTCTCTCTGACCAGTTATGACAGAAACATTGATTACTTACAAGCACTTCGGACAGTGCTACTCTTCAAAATGGGCTCAGTCAGGATACCTTGTATATTATTTCAACACTGAACCAGTCTGTAAACGATCAGCATTGATGCTGCAGTGTCAAATTTACACTTTGGATGGGGTTAATATTTTATATTATATTCTTTCACAGCTAATTACTTTACTCTAAAGAGTTTTAAGACTTTAACACAGCTTGGGGCAAAGCCTATACATCCCAATCTCACTCTTAATGAAAAGGCTGAGGGTATAGAACTGTGTACGTTCAGTGACTTTAAAATAATATCTGAAAATGTCTACCACCTGCAAAAATTGACAGAAACTTGCTTCAACATACATTTTTTTAGATTTTTGGGGGGAAACTGCTTTTCTCACGAGGCTACATATTTGATCCACTGATTTAAGTCTTATGCGATAATCCAATTCTCAACAAAATAGCACTGGTTTAAAAATGCATAAAAAACATCAGCTAACCTTCTACAAAATAGTAAAAAAAAAGCTAAATACCCATCTAACAATCAGCCCTTAATTATTATCACCCGTAAATCAGATTTTTTTTTTATGTGTTTGGCCGGGCAGGGGCCAATGTGCACTGAGGGGGGTGGCTGTAAACTGATAAGCGGCAAAGCATTTTATGCTCAATATATACTGATTGTAATAAACCAACAGGAAAATGAAGGGCGCACAACATCTATATTTTCCAAATAAATCACTGAAGAGCGACCAGATTTTCATTAGAGTCCTTGCAGATAAAGCTATGCACACCCTAAGGCAGATGTTGATTATTTTGACATTAGTCTAACTGACCCCCAATACAAGCTGCAGATATTTATGCCCCCCACCTCCATTTCCATGATAAAAATGATACAATGACGAATAAAAGGAACATCTATTAACAAATTAAAAGAACGTATGAAAAATGGAGGGATCAGCAATGCATGTCCTTTATGTGACCTGAAGGATTTTTTGCTTAATGCGCTAAAATCAGCTAACATCAGCTGATAATGATACCGATCGGTCTAACTTAACTCTGGGCATCTCCCTCTGCACCTTTAGAACGATCAAATCCATAAAAAAAATCCTTTTATTTGCCTAGAAAATAGCTTTTTTTTCTCCCCAGCTTTTATGTTTTTTAGCAGTATGTACTGGGTGGAAAAATAGCAATGTGTAGCAAATCTAATAATTAAAGCAGCTATAGTGTACGAAGCCCCACGAAGAATGTTTTTTTTGTTGTGAAACTTTCTTTACAGCTAAAATTTTTTTTTTGTTAGATGTTCTCTTGTACTTTGTTCTCTTTCGGCTCTTGAACTAAAGGATGCTACTCTTAATAGCAATTACCTTAACTCCACCATGATAATCCCATTTTTAGTCTCCAAACTCTACTACAAAACACAGATTTCTTGAATTTGCTCTTCACAACCCTGTTAAAAAAGTAAAAATATCTTTCCATCTGTAAACACTAAAGGCATGACCTTAAGTTTTTCTTTATAGACGCATCAATTGTAACAGTCTGTCTGGCTTAAGAAAGGAACTCATTCGTTCCATTCATCATCCCTGAGCACATTGAGAGCACTTTACAAGGCAGTCTTTGCAAGTAACATTTACACTGATAATCTGCACAGTGTATTGGAATGTACATCTAATTAGTGGGAGTATTTTGCTCTTACAATTATTTACAAAAACTCAGTTTTGTTAAGTTATACTGTGTTTGAGATACAAAACGTTCCAGCACATACTCCCACTCACATACAACTCACACATTGACCACATGACTTATGCTCAAGCTTGATTAAGATCAATGATATACAATGAAAGCATTTAAATTGTAGATCTAAAGGAATAAGTCAGCACCTTATGTGATAAGTTATTAACAACTTTAGTATAATATGTCTCTGATAACAAACAGTGATCACTTTATATGAACAAATGAAGCATTGGAGACAATAAATATTACATCTAACAGTGAAAAAGGTTAATTTTCAAAACAGTTATTCACAAGAAAACAGAAAAATATATATATTTCAATCCTTTGAAATAGAACAAAATGATAATTAGGTCTGAAAAGGTCTCCCCTCTGCCCATGATTTAATGACCTTCAAATAATATCTGCAAAACCACAACGTTCGCCAAGCTTAATGTAAAAGCAAAAAAGAAGAAAAATTTCTTCTAACATAACTTATATGATTCTTAAATCACTTCTGGGAAACAATGCTACATCTATCCATAACAACTATTTGAATATGATATTAGATCATTTCACAGACAAAATTTTGTTCTATAAACTTCAAAGCATTCTTGGAGATGTAAAAGAAAATCATCTAGAACCTGGCAATAGTGCCACAGCCCGAACAATCAAATGGCAAACTGTTGTTTCTTGACATCTGAATAGCATTTCACATGCTCCATAAAGCTCCACAGCAACACATATCGGACCTCATACTGGAGTCGTCCTCCGGTTCGCCCCGTTTTTCACATCTTTCTGGAAACAGTTGTGCACTTGTAAAAACCCAGTGTTCCTATCAGGACTATATGGCCCTGCAGGCCCACTACCAGCCTTTAAAGGGTCTCTGCTGAGCGTGTACATGGATATGTCCCCCATCGGTAGACCCATTCCCAGCCCTCCCCCTCCAGGTCCCCCTCCGATCTTCACTCTGACAGGGGAAGGTTCGCGGGACGGGTCTGTTGATCTTGAACTGGAACGAGAACGCCTCCGCCTGTAACGGTAACTTGGTATGCGGGAATATGGTGAAGAGGATGAGGTGGTTTTGATGAAGTCTCGTTTGCCACGGAAACGTGTCTCCTTGTTTTTTTCGATGTATATGTTGACTGCCAGAACGCCCACAGACTCAGCCACGATGAAGGAGAGGGCACCAAAGTAAAAGGACCAGCCATAGTTGTACTGGTTCTTCTTGTCCTCGTCTTTCTTGTCACTGGGATCCCCAGCATTGCTGGAGATGTAGACAATGATGCCAATGATGTTGCTCAGCCCTGAAGAGAGTGTATACACAAAGGGAATTGATGGTAGTTGGTAAAAGCTAAAAAAGGAAACTGTTTTCAGATTGTGACATGGTCTATAAATTCTATTGTTGTCTGCTGTAACAACCCTATGTGGGTGGAAAGAAGACAGGCCTTTCTCTTGCTCTATATGATATCTACAACAAATCACACAAAAAAAAAAAACAGTTGTCTTATTCTATCATTGTGTATCAGGTTAAATTTGTGTATTCATGTGTCTCTGACAGTCAGCGTTGTCCTACCTGCAGCCACAAATAAGATGCCAGCAGTGAGCAGGATGTTGTTCTTTTTGCTGTATAAACGTCCGATCCCGACACATAATCCACCCAACATCAGCAGTATGGTGCTGAGAATTGGAAACAGGCTGGATGCACGCACTATACCTGTTAAAAATAACACACAATGAAGAAAATTGTACTATTAGTTAGTTGCTAAGATTAGGTTATTCAATTCACTTATAGAATACTGTAAGCACACACAATGGTTTAAGAAATGTACACACCTTGGACAATGCAAAGTTTTGGGGATGTGAAAGACTGAAAATATAATTTATTTTCTCAAGAAAGTTTTCCCCTTTCATAGAATCTATAACCTGTAAACCTTAAATTAAATGCATCAAAAAAGGATGCAATAACCTGCTTTCATAAGAATCCACAACATTGTTGTCATTGTCTGTTTTTTTTATTTATTTATTCAGTCTAGTCTGTGTATCAAACATTGTCATTTTAGGTTATACTAGTTTTAGTCATATGCAAACTCTTTCATTAAGTCAAGTCAGTAAGAATCCAGGAGGAATTACAATCTAATAGTGACCAGGTTGAAGAAGCACCATGGGAAAGCCGATGGAGCTTAGCTACGATGGTGGAGAAGGGGATAGATGTGGATTAAATTGGGTTCATCTGAGTCAAAGTTGGACATAGCGCCACCACTGCTTGCACTAGCTGGGTAGCCGGCTGAGTCGTGGATTTGAGTTTTTAAAATGAACTCTGCTGCTTTGTTTTCTTCCGTCCGTAGAGCTCTGCAGTTTTTTAAATGATCAAGAGTGAATGTATTTAAAACATTTTGTTACTGTAGCTCTAGCAGGCATTGACGGTCGTAGATGCGGGATCAATGCCTGGTTTGTAGCGTTCTGAACGGCATATTTTGTGGAATTATCAAAGGAATTGTCGAGAGCTGTATCAGATCGCTGCCGGCAGATGCCCTCACGTTTGAGGTGTCTGTTACCTGCTCGTAAACTGAACTTTACATCATAAAAACTAATTTAAAAGGAAAGTGCAAAAATGGCCCTTTGTTAACAGAAAGACTGTTGAAAACAATAAAAAAAACTAAATAGTCTCAACAGAAAAGTCTATTTGTCTGCATCTGAAACAAGCCACAAATCCAGTGAGGGAATTGAAAGAGTGATGTCGGATGTGCCTGCGGCCATTAAGCATTATCAGGTTATTCCTGGTTCACACAGCAAGATTTTAAAGATGATCAAGTGATTTTAAGAACATCAGTGACCCCATGCATGATGATTAAAAATAAGCCGATTTGGTCCTTAACAGCCACACAGCAAGCAGATCACACCAAACACAGAGATTTGATTAAAGAATATTTAGATGACAGACAGGAAATCTCACACAGCCTTCATACTGTAATTAAACTATAATTTAGTGTAAATAGACATGGTCGATGAAGAGGAAGCATTTGTGATACTTCAAGGACTTACTTTAATACAGGAAAAACAGAATGAGAAAATATTTTGATGAAAGAAGTGGAGACAGCAAAAGCAAGAATTCTTCCTCCTAAAATTGTGAGGTTTTTTTTTCTTGGCAATCACTTTATGACTGGCTATACTTCACGTTTACCATCTTGGATAACCCCTGTTTGAGGTCAGGGTGGTACGGGCATCCTTCCATTCAGATTCAGACCAGATCATTCTTACCATGCAAAAAAATGCTGTGATTATCTCAAATATTATCTTTAAAGCAATTATGATTCAATTACAATTATGGGAGTGTTGGAAAGGGAAAAGTGGAGCAAAACTGGCCAAAATTTTCTTGTGGTTTGAACCAGAACTTTGAAAAAAAAAACGACAAGAAATTGGAACACTATCAAAGATATGAAACTTTGTTAGAAGAAAAATATGTGAATAGTAATGTAATGTCTAGTCTGTGCATAAAGTGCAACTACTGCCAGTCCAGCCTATGAGAAGGCTGACGGTCAGTTTGGTGGTAAGCAGGGGTGTTTGCGGTTGTATTTGTGTGAGTTTAAGTAGGCATGCGGCTCAAGACATAAGGGTTCGTGTATGAAGCTTCTTCTTGGGGATGGAATGTCAGATGCAAGGGTTTGACTACAAAGAGTATTTACTTTCAAAGCTCTAGAAAAGACTGTTTTTAGGTTTATTTGATGTGCATTTAATGCCCTTGAACCTCATTTCTGATGGAAGTGGAACAAAAATAAGAATCATAGAACTTTATTGATCTCATATCCTCTTGGGTAGCAGTGGGCTGCCATCGTGGGACACCTAGGGAGCAGTGTGGGGTTAAGGGTCTTGCTCACAAACCCAGAATCTCAGGGAGTGGTGCTAAAATTCACAGAACCTCAGGATTCCAAACTCTGTGCCTTAACCACTAGGCCACCACTCTCTCAAATGAAAGAAAGTGGTGTTACTTAAAATCATGTTGAATGGAGAATGCGGGCATCAATCCTGCTATCTCTCACACGCTAAGCAAGTGCTCTACCATTTGAGCTATATCCTCTCCAAACGATGCAGAAATGGCTCAACTCCAGTAAACTGCCATTCAAAAGGGTTGTTTGGGAAATGCATAGTGTTGTTTTGGTGAAAATTATTTGGAACTATGGTCTAGAAGTCAAATGTCTCTTCCATTAGACCATACTAACTGTTCCAACATAATATTCAGGAGATTTCTACCTGGATGTTTTTTTTTTTGGAGAGAAAACAAATTTACATTGAAGCCTTGCTTCTTAGTCTGGTCACATAGAGAATACAGGACATAGGTATTATAAGTGGAAGACAACTGGCACTTGACAGAACATCCTGCAGCATTGACACTGACAGCTTCCTCACAGGCTCCACAACCACTTTCCATCTTATACTTTTTCCTATTTTTGGAGAGAAATAAAATTTTTGTCCTGTCTTGTTATCTTATCTGCAAACTTTACTTCAATATACTGTCATCTTGGAACCCTAATTACAATAGGTTACCTAAAACCTAAGACCTAAAAAATAATTCAATAATTGATAGAATATTCATAATAAATAAAACTAAATGATTACATGCAATGACAATCCTTCTAGGAGAACTGGTCTCTATTTCAGCTAAGTCAAACATACCAAAATCAATGTTTGGTGCAAAGTCATGAATGGTAAAAGCTTATATCGAATCTAACAAGTATTGTTGTATAGCAGTTTGTTTTTCAGTTTAGTTACACAATTTGATGTACTGTTCTTTTTAATCAGAATGTAATTTATTTTAAAGCTGATGACATATTTTTTTATTCTTTACAATACTGTGATCTTTAATTTCTAAGAGATGAAAAACATCACTTAAAAATGACCAATTGCGTTAATGAGGAGCCATTGTGACTTAAAAGTGGTGAACTACTGCCTGACAGGTTGTGGAAAATAAGGAGAGATTACTAAATAGTGATTTTGTAGTACACCAAGTACCACCTCTACATTTTAGAATAATGCAGCATTTACTATCATAGACTGAACACAGGGCCTGTTTGAAGAAAATATTGAATTGGTCCACAAGCAATATTTTACACCAAGAAGTGGTGCTTTTCTGTTGAAAAAACTGTTTAGACTTTAAAACACTCAAAAGTAAACAGTACAACCTCAAAAGCAGAGAAAACTTACCAAGAATTTATTTTCAACCAACAATCACCACTGCATGGTAGGCTTCAGAATTCACTGTCTAAAATTAATGCCTAAAATCCTTCTTTATAAGACAGTGGCTGTTGGTACCCTGAAGTGTCTCTGAAGCAATGCTACTATTGTACTCTGTAGCTGAGGAACATGCTGACATGTTTCCTTCTCACTGCTTTTTCCTTCTACTACTCTTCTGTTTTAAAAAACAGTGCTGTATTTTTTTTCTCCATCACTGAAGGTAAACCTGGCACAGGGCTGTGATGATGTTTTTGGCTGACATTTATTTTATTTATTTTTTTTTGGACAACTACGTTCACAGGGCTTCTGTACTTAAAAAGAAATAAATAAAATTTTTCCTGATTTTCTTTCCTAGATTTTCTCAGTGTTTTTTGTGTTTCTATTGTGTCACCTCATTAGTGTTGCGCTGATGTCATTTTTGGCCCTGATACTGTCATGGTCTTGGTTCTGTTGTTCTTTATTTTGCTCCTTGTTTTCTAGTTTTATTGGTTTAATTACAGTTTTGTTGTAATTTCTAGATTTATATTAGTTCTCATGTTTTTCTGTTGTCCTCTATTGCCCTCTTGTGTGTGTGTTCCTTTCCCCTTGGCTCCCTCGTTGCCCCCCCTCACACCTGCTCCTTGTCTGCTCGTTAGCCCTCCCTTTGTCTCTCTCTGCTATACAGGTGCTGGTCATAAAATTAGAATATCATGAAAAAGTAGATTGATTTCAGTAATTCCATTTAAAAAGTGAAAC